TAGACACTAGGTCTTACGTGAAAGACCTTCCCTTCAATGGCCAGGGTCTCTTTAATACCACTACTAATTCTACTCTGCAGGAGTTAGATAAGAGTATAAAGGCATCTCGAGCTCTAGGAGTATCGTCCTCTGCAAGACAACAATACCGTCCTCGCACCTGGTCGAGGTCCTGGCAGAAGCGTACCCCAACCCACCAATCTCTGGAGGCCAAAAACCTGCCTTCCATAAACCAAAATTCGGCTCCGGACAACAAACTTCCCGCACCAAACAGTCCAAACCCTCCAAGCAGGGTTTTTGACTTCCCAGTCACCGAGTCAGCTCAAACCCGTCTGTCACCCTACCTTCAAAATTGGCGTCACATCACCTTGGACGAGTTGGTGCTGTCCAACTTGTCCTGGGGCTACAAAATTCACTTCCAACAGAACCCCAATACTGCTGTAGTTGTATCCACACTCCCTTCCCCACCTCTCCTCGAGGAGGTGTCCATACTTCTGCAGAAGGGAGCCATCAAACAGGTACCACCACACCTCCAAGGGACGGGGTTTTATTCCCGATACTTTGCAGTCCCGAAGAGAGACTGAGGTGTTTGACCCATATTAGATCTCAGGGAACTGAATCGTTTTGTGACCTACCACCACTTCCGCATGGTGTCCCTTCAACAGATCATGCCATTGCTTCGCAGACATGTCTGGATGGCCACCCTCAACCTCCAAGACGCATATTTCCACCTTACTATCCACCCCCTTCCACCACCAATACCTACGCTTTGCGATTGTTCAACAGCATTACCAGTATACGGCCCTTCCATTCGGCCTGTCCAGCGCCCCAAGAGTCTTCACAAAGACTATGATTGTGGTTGCAGCTTTCCTCCATCTCAGGGGTATCTCCATCTACCCATATATAGACGATTGGCTTCTGGTAGCGCCTTCCAAGGTCGCCCTGGTCTGCAATGTCTCAGAAACTCTAGCACTACTGGACAATCTCGGCCTGCTAGTCAATCGGCAAAAGTCCCAGTTGTGACCGGTCCAGCGCATACAGTACATCGGCGCAATACTGGATTCTCAGACATGAATGGCTTACCTGCCTCAGGACAGGGCAACAGATATCATCTCCTTAGCCACCGTAATCCATACCCAAACCTCTGTCACTGCCTTCCAATTTCAGAGGCTGCTTGGCCTGATGGCTGCAACTACGTCACTTCTAGTCTTTGCAAGACTAAAAATGTGCCCTTTACAACTCTGGTTCATCCACAGTTACGACCTGTCAGAAAACGCACACACTGTCATCCTATCCCCTCCTCCCA